CTAAACAATGTATATTAACAATATAGTTAAACAATGTATATTAACAATATAGTTAAACAATGTCTATTAACAATATAGTTAAACAATGTATATTAACAATATAGTTAAACAATTTATATTAACACTATAGTTAAACAATGTATATTAACAATATAGTTAAACAATTTATATTAACACTATAGTTAAACAATGTATATTAACAATATAGCTAAACAATGACTATTAACAATATAGCTAAACAATGTATATTAACAATATAGCTAAACAATGTATATTAACAATATAGCTAAACAATGTATATTAACAATATAGCTAAACAATGTATATTAACAATATAGCTAAACAATGTATATTAACAATATACCTAAACAATGTATATTAACAATACAGCTAAACAATGTATATTAACAATATACCTAAACAATGTATATTAACATTATAGCTAAACAATGTATATTAACAATATAGCTAAACAATATATATTAACAATATAGCTAAACAATGTATATTAACACTATAGCTAAACAATGTATATTAACAATATAGCTAAACAATGTATATTAACAATATAGCTAAACAATGTATATTAACAATATAGCTAAACAATGTATATTAGGCAACAATCTATATTTGTAGAAATATTTTTAAAGTAACATGTAATTCTCTGAAGCTAAAACTATCGTCAAGAAGTGAATCCGATCAATATTCGAACCTATGACTCTGCTTATTGAACAGATATATTGTGACCAAAGTTTATATTTGAACCACATTCGATTTCATTTCTCAGTTCTTCCATATTTTTTATTTTACTTATTTGTTTGTTTGTCTTAAAGTAATGCTACACCGTTGATTTTCTACGCTGTGTTCGTCACGAGGAACCAAACCCGAATTTTAGCTTTTCAGAACAATATTAACTGATATTATCACATACCTTTCAGATTAATGTTTTATAAACGATGTTAACATTATTGATAGAAAATAATGAATATGGTAAAATAAATTGAACGTGTGCGATTATTGAATAGAACGTGTTATATGACAGTCTCTTTGACAGCAGCACCGAAAGCACGTGTTGAGCATGCGCTGTTTTCATTTATATCATCGACGAATTTGATATAAAAAACAATAACTTTAACTGTTAACCTACAGTCCCTTGCTAGTTTTTTTATTAGAGTCAATATTTAGCATAATTATTATTATGTATCTTTAGTTAAATCAAATTAGACTCGACTGAGAAGAAAAAAAAATAATTTCAAATATTTATTCCACCACATTTGAACCAAAACATTTGATTTGTTTAATGCCTTAACAATCTGTTATTCAGCATAAAAAAAACGAATTTTGATACTCGTGGTAGGCACTGCGCAGTAGCCTATTTTGTAGCTTCTCGCTTAACAACAAACATAAAACGCGTGTCTTTATCTAACGAAAACGATACTATTTCTAACACGGTTTCACGCTCAAGACACGCGCTAATAAGAACTGGTTGTTAAGTGTGGAAAAAGCTAAGTTAAAATCTTACTTTGATGATGAATTGGATTTTCTGTTGGTTATCTTAACTTCTATACCCATTACGCCTATAAACCAAATACAACGTTTTAGCAACTGTCTGACATTGATAAACTTTTTAACTGCTTTCTAAAGTATGTAATTCATCTTTTATTTGTGGTTACGTTTCAATGATATATTTCTGTTTTTAGAACGTTATCAGACTTGATCATCTATGTTTTATGTATATTGACTGACTGATTCAGCCATCTGCAGGTCTAGATAATACTTTTGCTGACTCGAAATGCATGCAGTAAATTTTATTGTTTCTCCTAAATGAAAAATATCAAAAAACGTAACAAGTGCAACAGTCGTGGGCCTATTGGTTCGATGCTTCATATTTAAGCTTTGATAAAATTAAAATAAAACTTCTGACCGTAAACAAAATGGTGAGTGTTTGTTTGTTGAAAAGCACGAATCTACACGACGTGTCTTCTGTGCTCTGCAGGTATCGAAACCCCGTTTTAGCGTTATAAAGATGGAGAGATTGATTGGTTAAATTGTGAATAATGACCGTTCTTAAGCAGAATGACATAACACACAGACAGGTGTGACCATTTTATAAACATATACGTCTAATACAGTGGATTAGTCGATGGAAAATCACGCTTACCGACTTCTGATTTGGGGCAAATGACGCTTACCGACTTCTGATTTGGGGCAAATGACGCTTATCCACTTCTCGTTTGGGAATATGACGCTTATCAACCCATTTTTTGTGAGAACTTAAGTTTACCCACATCCTCTTGGATAATATTATGTTCTTCACGCACCTTTTCTGGATGATATGATGTTTTTCACGCACACCCCTTTTTGGATGATATGATGTTTTTCACACACACCCCTTTTTGGATGATATGATGTTTTTCACACACGCCCCTTTTTGGATGATATGATGTTTTTCACACACACCCCTTTTTGGATGATATGATGTTTTTCACCACACACCCCTTTTTGGATGATATGATGTTTTTCACACACACCCCTTTTTGGATGATATGATGTTTTTCACGCACACCCCTTTTTGGACGATATTATATTTTTCACGGACACCCCTTTTTGGATGATATGATGTTTTTCACACACACCCCTTTTTGGAAGATATAATGTTTTTTCATGCACACACACATTTTTTGGAGAATATGAAATTTCAGGAATATGACGTCACTTCTCATTTACAATGCTTATCACGCCAGTGCTGGGTCTGTAACCTTACTGAAAAGGTTAATTTACCCAATACCAACGTCTTCTTTTTTTATCACTTACATCACTGGTTCAGTGTAATATAGTCCAGGACTTAGAAGGCTCCCTCTGTACATGAGAATTCGACACGAAAAATCATGACTGACATGCTGTTCAGTGTTGAGAAGCATCATTTTAACAAGAAAATAAACTTCTCCGTTGTACGCATGCTCTAAACCAACGGATTTTCAGTTTCCGTTTTTTTTGCTAAGATATTTGTATACAAATCATTCATGTTACATACATTTGTTCATTTGTGGTTCAGGTATGAAAGTCACATAAAATGTCTCAATGAGATATGAAAGTCACGTAAAATGTCTCAATAAGATATGAAAGTCATATAAAATGTCTCAATGAGATATGAAAGTCACATAAAATGTCTCAATAAGATATGAAAGTCACATAAAATGTCTCAATAAGATATGGAAGTCACATAAAATGTCTCAATGACTGAGTAAACATGTGAGTTAAAAAAAAGGATATCAACTCTTAATAAATAACAAAAAACACGTTAATTTTGTGAACACGTTCTATAAAAACAAAGATGCTATGAGAAACTACCTGATTTACATGAAAGTGAAATTATTTATTGTTCAATCAATATTGATCACCTGTAAGACATACTAATCTAAGACATACTAGATAGCCCCATTGTGTAGTTTCTTGCTTGACAACAAACAAACAAGCAGAATGATTAATTAATGTTATAACACTCAGTGTAAATACTGGCTAAAACAATTGCATTTAATTGACTCATTTTTGATGTAAATTTCATAGAGAACCCCAGATGTAATTAGTGAGAATTGATTTCTATGCTGAAGGTATTTCTAATTATCTTTTGTGTGGCTTATATTTTATTACAGACCCTGTAACCAACAAAATCACGAACATACAAACAGTTTGGTGCATAAATATTTTTTAAAAAAATGTTTTTTAAAAGCAAATGGGATCATACAAAGTCGGCCCTGTTCTGAAATTATAAACTAGGTTATATACGGTAAGGAGATCATTTTTTTGGATACTTAATTGATTTTTTCTTCTTAAAATTTAATGGATAACACGTTTATTCTTGTAGTCTTCTTTTTGTCCAATCAGAGTTTTTACGACATACTTTTATTTTTCTTCTAGATGATATTTTTGATGTGGAAACTTACGAGCTTCTTGCTTGGTATATTGGACTATGTTTCTTTATCAACCATGCCTTGTGGCTTCAACCCTTTGTGTTCCTGTGTTGCTATGCAACAAGAAATCAGTTGTGTGAGTGTACCATTCCTAGTTCTTCCAAAGCTTCCGTTTAAAGAAGTTTATCAACTGACGTTTGCAAGAAATGGACTTCCAGTATTAAGCAATAAATCGCTAGATGGCACTGCTGTGTCTTCTCTTAGATTAATGTACAACGATTTAGTGACTCTACCACTTCACGCTTTCCACAGATCGGAACAATTGATGACCTCGTTGGACATCAGTTACAATCAGATGAACGAATTTCCAGCTAAGGCTTTAAGAAAACTACCTTATCTTCAGTGGTTAAACTTACATTTTAATAAAGTGGAGGAGCTCAGACGAAGTGCGTTCGAAAACCTCTGGTCGCGTTCTTCTCTTCGTAGCTTATTATTAAGCAACAATCATGTTTCATTTATAGAAGATGGTGTTTTCAGAAGTCTTTGGAACCTTTCATCTCTGGACCTCTCCAATAATCACATTAGCAAGTTGGAGGGTCAACCTTTTCCAGATTCTTTGACTACGCTGTCCTTATCAGAGAATCTTCTGGACTGGATCCCTCCTGATGCTCTTTCTAACCTGAAATACCTGAATAGAATTAATCTAGGTGGTAATTTGTTTTCGACTCTCCCAAAAAAGTGGAAGTTATCAGTGCGTCATCTCGATAAATTAGATTTCAGTCACAACCTGCTAGCAGATTTAGATAGCAATATTTTTAACGGATCTTTTTCGGTAAGTGAGCTAAGCCTAAGCTATAATTATCTTAGGACATTACCAATGCAGGTTTTTAGAGGTCTTTCTATACAGCGGCTATCTTTAACTAACAACCGCTTGTCTTCCATACCAGTCGGGACCTTTGAAGGCTTAGAATCTACCCTGACTGCTTTGGATTTAAGCTTCAATATGCTGAATAAATATCCCAAGGCATTAAAAGAACTCAATCAGCTTCAACAACTTCACTTGCGCGGGAACCAGCTTGAAGACCTAGATAGGTTCGATTTATATACGTGTCGGGAACATTTGGAAACTCTGGATCTCTCAAGGAACGTTTTCAAGAAGGTCCCGAAGGAAGCTTTGAAAACTTGCAAAACAATTTTGCGCTTAAGTTTACAAGATAATCAGATTAAGCGAGTTTATGCAAATGATTTTTATGGCTGGGGAGACTCTCTCTTGTTCCTGAGCTTGGCTAATAACGACATAAGTTACATCGCAGAAGGTGTGTTTCTCCACACGCCAAAGTTAAGAGAAGTGAAACTATCATATAATAATCTCGTCAACGGTGACCCCAGACTTTTACTTCCTCTCAGGCATTCGTTGAAAGCCGTAGAGCTAGGGTCACTTTTCGGACTCCACCGCGACCCTCCTGATCTGATGGTGAAATTCTTGAATAACATTGAATGGCTTCAAATGGATCACAACAACATTTCCGACATAACACCCACGTCTCTGTTAGGCTTAACAAAGCTGGTTCACTGCGATTTGGAAGGTAATAACATACGGCTACTTCCACACGGGTTATTCCCAAAGAATGTACATACTAACCTAACTAATGTTATCCTATCACACAATCAACTGATTTCAACCAATACAAAAACATTTCACGAACTCCCGCGCCTCCGGAATATCGTCCTGCTGGGCAACCAATTGAAGATCGTTCGATCCAAATCTTTCACGAGCTGCCCTTTGCTGAGTTCGGTTGTTTTATCACATAACCAGCTACTTACCATAGAACCTGCAGCTTTTCACAATTTGACACGTCTAACAAGTGTTTTTTTACAGTTTAATAAATTATCAAGATTTTCTTTTAATATATTCAGTGGTGTTAGCAACTCGCATTTTCCAATGTATATTAACGTTTCAAACAACCGTATTGTGTCTTTAGTTTTGTCTCATAGAGATGAGAGTGATCACGATATTCGAACCTTAGATCTTAGTCATAATAACATATCACTGATTCCAGAGGGGTTTTTCAAATGTGTAGAGAGGTCGCTTTACCATTTATTTCTGTCCTTCAATAACCTAACAGTCATACCGTCGAGCGTGTTTTCTGAAACTGCTAATCTCCAGGTTATCCACTTGGATCACAATCATATCACATCTGTTAAGTCTACTGACTTTCGAGGGAAGTCGCGTGTTCAGATTATAACCTTAGGTTACAATAACATTTCTACAATCTCATCAGAGGCTTTCACTGGCCTACAAGAACTTAGGATTGTAGATCTGAGTTATAACAGAATAGCGACACTGCCAGAAAGTGCATTCATGGGCACGAAATTGGAAAGGATCAATCTTTCTCATAATATAATTGTCCGTCCGCCTCTAAGGAGCTTTTTTCCCGCCAGATACACGTTGAGAATTATTGACTTGTCAGCCAATCACATCTCCGTGATTCAAAGTGACGAGATCAATCCTCTGTATATGTTGTATTCATTGAACTTGTCGAGTAATCGGCTAACAGAAAAAGCGGTAGGATTTCTCGTGAACCTCACGCGACTCATTAACCTTGATGTTTCCCATAATCCTTTGCGGAGGATTGAAGATGGACCTTTTTATCCATTGAGGTTACTGCGCTCGCTAAACTTAAAGAACTCTAGTTTATCTCACTTGTCCTTTATTCCACTGCTAAGATTAAGGACCTTGACGCTCGCAAACAATCTTCTGAGAAATATTTCAGATCACGCTTTCCGTCACTTGCGACAGTTGCGCCACCTAGATTTGTCCTACAACCTGATAGAGGAAGTTCCAAGTCATGTATGGGTTCACACACCGGACCTACACACCCTCGATATATCTCATAATCCAATTGAAGTACTGGGAACTGTTAGTTTCAGCGGACTAAACCGACTAGTGGAACTGGACATGCGCGGATTAGATCTGAAATACTTAGACTCTCGCACACTCTACAAACTCAGGTAAGATTGAAGACAGTTGAAGAGTAGTTAGTACTTGATCTTCATAAGTACGGATTATTTTCTACAGTTCTGTAAATTTTAAACTTAGTTAATGTTTTAATAAATGGCCATCTTAAAGTCTGTCGTTTTCTGTAGCTAATATTTACAAGCTTAATTAATGATTTGCCAATTAATCTTTAGAAACTTATTGATGTTTCGACAATTAATATTTATAAAGATGGAAAAAAAATGTATAAAGCACTATAAAACACGCATTTATCTTTCTAAGTTATATGATTCTCCCCACTTCAAAATAAATTGTTATTTTTTAGTTAACAAAACAATGTAAAATGTTCTTTAGTGAAACTCCGT